GATGGGCCGAATGGCCTCCTCTCGTTTGTATATTTCTTATGTTCTTATGTATGTTCTTATTACGACAATGCATTAAACTGCCATATTTAATCACCTTATTAAACATCCATACCATAGGCTATTTCTGAGGCAGGAAGTTGAACGAGCAAGTCATTAACCGCTATAATTACAGCGCTTTCCAACATCGCCGCCCGCTGTGGAGCGAAAAACTATAATCACAGACTTATTTTAAATGTCGCTGAGGCTCACAGAAAGGGTTATGGGCCCATCCTGAACCCAGACGGATGCAGCAGCACCAAACCACGATCAGGACGACTGGGCCCCTCAGAAACATGAGCCAATCAGAAAGTCACTTCCTGAAGAAGTAAAAATAAGCTTCCAATAAAAAAATGCTGCACGTTTGTCACATGTGCCACAAAGTAAACAAACTACATATAGATGACACTACACACATCCGTCTTACAATTGCTTTTCCTGAGCAGTTTTGGGGGACCACAGGAAATACAGACATTTTAAATCAAACTATACAATTTGTTGACTTTGTTACATTTAATTTTTTTTGCAGATACTTTGATCCAAAGTGATGTACATTTTTTGAGAAGGCAGGGTCAGTCAGTCCCTGGAGCAATTGTGTTCAACGGCGTTTCTCAAGGGTGCAACGGTGAAATCGCTCTGCTGACCACGGGATTTGAACCAACGACCTTCCAATCACAAGTAAATCACCGTAACCCACTGAGCCACAAACCGCCCCTATCATTCAGCAGGAGTAACCTCCAAACCTTTAAGTCAAAGAACCATGAAATGTTTCCTAACATCCCCAGAGACAAGCCGGGGCGTGAGGACAAGGAGAAACACCTCTCTGGAGGCCACTGCAGCATTCCAGACGATCCTAAATCCAACATGCTCTGTTCCCCGCGATACCAGTGAATCTGATGAGATTGGATCGACCTGGACGGCCGCAGATTGCCGCACTTTTGTCCAGGCTTGGTGGTCACAAATTAGGGGCTTTTCATGCCGCCCCCGTAAGCCTGAACCCTGTAATTAATGTAATCCCACACACAGTGATGCTGTTGTGTTTAATGAGGACATGGGCAGGACACAAGGCCGCACGAGCTACTGCTCCCTGCCAACTCAGCCACGAGCTAATTATCACCCTTATAAATGTCCAGAATCCTATAAAAACTCATTTTACGCTTCCTTTTGGCAGTCCGACCTACTTGCTCCCTCGAAATCCTCAGGGAAAACAGAACGGAGAATTGAACACCAGAACAGAGAACTCGGTCAACTCTACAAGTAGGTCTAAGACGTTCGGCATCTTTAGCAAGTCGTACCTCAGTGCATGAGTATAACATTGTCAGTTGTTTTTGGTTCATGCAGCCTGAAAAATGAAGATTCCAGCACTGATGATCTTCACTTTTATCGTCCTTCAAGTGAGTAACTAGGGATGATACGGGAATCATGTCATGGGTGCAGAGAAGAGTCTTTTTGTTTGGGCCGGGAAACTTACCATTACTCTCTTTCACTTCTAGGTCAGTTTTGGGAAGGTAGGTCCATTCATTCTCATCATCTGTGAGATGAAAGGTGTGATCACGTATGCCGGTGATATACAATGGGGCTGAAATGCGGGAATCTGTATAGATGTAAACCAAATGGACCTTCTTGCTCAGAAACTCAGACTGCTCCCAGGATTCAACGGGGGAATGGTGCCAGGGGTTCTGAGCCCAGGGTACATGATGGGGGGGCCTCAACCCCCCATGATCAACATGGGAGGGGGATACCTCCAACCCCAGTACCCTCAGGTGAGTATCCCAGCCACGGGCCTTAATGAGACACTTGTTAATGATGCTTTTGTCCGAAGCTACTTCTAGTAGAGGAAAGTGATACAATTCATGTGTGCTTCCTGGCACTTGAACCAACAACCTTTGTGTTGCTGCACAATCACAATATGTTACTTGTTGAGCAACAGGAGCTACAAATTGTCTTATTAATGGCTCTGCAGTTCATAAATAATCCCTCATGTTTGCAGTTATGATGTCACAAAATTAGGTCATGTAAGTGCTTCTATAATGGATGACTTTGCTTATTGCTTGAGATCCTGCCTCTTTGTAGATGCTTCCGGGCGTTCCACTATCACCCATGATCCCATCTCAACCCTACGGCATTCCTTATGCTCCCAATGGACTCCCACAACAACAGTTGCCTTATATGGTTCCCTTCAACCCGAATCCCAGTTTGCCGCTGCAACAGCCACTGCCGGGACAGATGGTCTCTCCGGCCAATGGGGTAAATCTATGTGTTGCTATGCACAGCCTGTATCCAATCAAAAATCAGTCACTGCACCTACTATATCAGGTACAATTTTGTCCTTTCAGGGATCCCCGAACTATCCCAGTGCACCGCAACCAAACTTTCTACGAGAAGCCAACCCAGCCCAGCAGCAAGCTACAGTAATTCAAACTGACACTTCCTCTTTCCTTTGAGGGCTCTAGTCAAACTTTATGAAGATCACAAACCTCTTTGTAATAATCGTTATAACAGTCTTGGTTTAATTGCATTTTTTCTAGTTAATTCAATAAGATCACTCTGTAATCTTACAGACGTAATGTATGTAATCTAACCGCGTACCATTTAAGCAATTATGCAGGATTGCGGAATGGAATATCATTCTCAACATGTGAACGCACTTTCTACACAGATATATTTGGCTAAATGATAATTGGAATTAAACTGAAACTGATTTTTTAAGTGAGGGGATTAAATAATTCTCAGGGCAGTGCATGAGAGGAACTGCCCATTCGATGTTAAAGTTATAGCTGAAATCTCCATGCACAGGGAGCTCCAGGCTGGGATGGGGTTCGGATGGGACAGCAGGCCATGACCGCAGCTCCACGTACGCGGATATATAAGGTAAGATGGACTCAGAGGAGGTTCTCCTTTACTGTGAATGATGAGCCATTTCAACTGCTCTGTTTAATGACTAGGATTATAATAATGCTTTATTGACAAGGTATGTGTAGAATAAATATTATCAAAGCATAAATACCTAGCTACCTGTGATGGCAGAGGTGCCCCACCACTTGGAGCTAATGCTAAATGGTAACCACTAGTGATGAATGCTAACATGCTAAATGGTAACCACTAGTGATAAATGCTAACACGCTAAATGGTAACCGTGAGCAGAAATTGATGCCCAGAATTCCTTGTTTCACTCCCACAGCGCTTTGCTCCCAGGATGACTTATGGCGGGAGTTTGTCTACAAGCAATGAGGTGCACTACAAATGGCTCTTGGGCTGTTTAATGGTTTCCAGTGCCTTAATATCCTTCAGCGGCACTAGTATTTGTTAGCTTCTGTGCTCCTGGGAAATGATATTTTCAGAAAAGCTCTAAAATGAATGTACACAGTTGACATATGGTCATTTTTATCCCTTTAGGTTCCAACTCAGATAATGCCGACCCCAACTGAGGGTGGGGCTCTCTTCAGCAACGCTTAAATATCAGGTGCATATCGGCCTACTAGACGGTGACGGATATTAAACAGCCATGGAGATTTACATGCTAAACGCTCAGCTTTCAATGAGTGTCAGAAGCTTAACAATGTCCGTCTTCTCCTCCTTAGGAAGGGCCCTTCAGCACGGTGAACCGACGGGATAGAAGGAACACGGGAATTGTAATAGAACACAAGATGGCTCACTGTGGTTGAATAAAGACAAGATAACTGTCTATAAAGCTTCTGCTTAGGCATTATGTTATGCAGTGAAAGTCTTTGATGATGTCAAATAAATGATCAAATATCCCGCAATGCCTTGCAGTAAAATGCTTGTGTCTTCTCTCTTCTGGTGCTTTTGCTAAACCAATTACAACTGTACAGTAATGTCAGAGTATAGTAATCACTTACAGCTCTACAGTAATGTCAGAGTATAGTAATCACTTACAGCTCTACAGAAATGTCAGAGTATAGTAATCACTTACAGCTCTACAGTAATGTCAGAGTATAGTAATCACTTACAGCTCTACAGTAATGTCAGAGTATAGTAATCACTTACAGCTCTACAGTAATGTCAGAGTATAGTAATCACTTACAGCTCTACAGAAATGTCAGAGAATAGTAACCACTTACAGCTCTATAGTAATGTGAGAGTAATCACTTACAGCTCTAGTAGTATCAGAGTATAAAAATCATTTACAGTTCTACTGTAGTGTCAGAGTGTAGTGATCACTTACAGCAATATTGTAATGTAGGAGTATAGTAATCACATACTCTGGTTTGGCCAACACTGTTCACCAAAATAACAGAGATTTTTGAGACTGATTTTTTTTAAGGGCTTAATACCATGTGTCATAGTTTAATGAACTTTCTCTAACTATATACTATATTCATTTTAAAATGTACATTAATGTACATTTTAACAAAAGTGTACATGTAGGGTAGAGGTGTTGATCTAGGGTAAAAATTAGTTCTGACATCTAAAGATCAATGAATTGATGCATGGTAGATTAAAACAATTTTTTAAGTTGTAAAATGTTGACCCTCTCTCACATAAGGAAGAGCACTTATCGGTGTGGTGAGATATTTTCACTCGCATGTGATATCTAGTGGTACACTGATACACAACGTGCTTGCATGTTACAAAAAACACTGATGGCATATTCAGTGGTGGCTCCATATATGGTTTTGAACATGTGGACATCTGATGTTGCATTTTGATTTCTTTTTAGCTGGAATGCTCTTGCTTTGAAATGCTGCAGAAAATCTGAGCGACACTCCCCCCTAGTGATAAACCTTGGCAGACAAAATGCAGACAAAATCTATCAGTCGGGATTCTGTGTCACAGTGCCAAAACTGACGGCCCAATTTGATGTCAAGTCGATTTACAGAAAAATCTCCCATAATAAAAATAAAAACATTTTTCAGGTTCTCCAGATTCTTGTACTGTTGGGTTGTATAGACACTGATACTATGTACGTTGTGTGATTCGTACAGAGTTGCATCTTGGGTAGCATGTCATAAATAATGTTACACTTTACGTCATTGTGTCCTTGTTCAACTGACCTGTGTGCCTTTAATTGCGCCTCAGGGACAAATAAAGTTATTTTGAATTTGAATAAAGTGCACTTGATTCATACAGCACTGTTCTCTTGATCATGTCTGTTTAAACCGGGTGTGCCAGAAACATACAGTAGAATGCAAACACAGAGGGACGTCTAGATCATGTTACGTCCTTTTTTAGTGCTGTAATGTGCTGAAAGCCACAGAGATGATGCATAATGTTATTCTAATTATTATACAAATTCAGAGCAACAGGGTTTATTTACAGTATAATATATAATACACTGTAAAAGAGCAGACTGTTTCAGCATGACTCTCTTCGCCTTGTGTTCAATACCGGCTCAGAAGTTTGGAATGCATATCATATGTATTTAGCTAAGTTCAGGCTAAAAATCAATTTTACAAAATGAAATATCTGTTAAAACATCACCTGTGCTTTGGAATATGGATAACTTTTGTACAGCAAATCACTTTAACATAGGATAGCATATGTCTTAATCTCATAATGTCTAGCTTGCAGTGAATCTTCTCAGGTAGTGCGCCCCCTGTCTTGGGGTGACGTCTTAGCAGCATACTTTCCAGCAGGCCATGGTAATCCCTAAAAACTCATGTCTGAAAAACCCGAGGCGCACTCGCTCCCAGCCATTGATGTAACACCGCAATCGTGGATTACGGCATGACTGTGCACCACCTTAATAGGTCTCCATGGTGATGCGCAGACCTCTCGCAACAGGATGTGGGAAATATCTGCTGCGACTGCACTATACCTTTCCAGGGTGCCACCTTCCAGACCTCTAGCTAATTGCTAGCTAACCTTAATCACAGCTCATATCAAGCATCATGTGAAAATCCAAACCCAGCTCAAGAAATCAACGCTCACCATTCTGTCTAATACTCCAGTATATACAAGATGTGAACATGGAAATCGAGCTATACAAACAGTCAAATATCACTATATAAACAGGCTTGAATATATTTCAAGATAACATAGTACACTTGCTTTAATAAATTGATATATGTTCCATATTTACTGGGATTGGCTTCGGATTCTCCATGACCCTGTACTAGATATAAGCAGCCATGGCGTTTGGATGGTTGGTCTGATCTGTAGGAGTAGAAGAGTAAATATAGAAAGACAGAAACCCTCTGGTACATTACTGGCTAATTAAAATGGAAAAATTGGAAAATTGAATCACACCTGATCTTATACACATGAAAACAAAAAAGCCTAGTTCAGCCCACCTAAGTAGAAGTTACAGGTGCCGTCTGGTGGAGAGGCAGGCTGTAATTGGCCACAGGACAGCTGACCCGTGCCGATGGTGAGCTGTCTGGGCCTCCAGACCAGCGTGGTGATGTCAGCCATGTGTCACAGCCGCTAGGCCTGCGAGCTGATTGGCTACGGGGGAATAAGTTCAAGTTTAAAAAGCGAAGGTGTTCACTGGATTGTTAGGAGTCACCAAGAGGGCAAGGAATTTCACTTCAAGCGGTGAAAAGGTGGCATTTTCTCCTGTTTATGAAGAGAATCTTTGTTACTCTATATCATAAATAATCTCTCATTCCCTTTACAGGGAAATCATGAAGCTGAAAATCGTGACGATCATTTCTTGCCTGCTGAGTCAGTGCCTGGCGATTCCTGTAAGTACTGCTATTTCTTTGCAGAATTCTTTGTAGCTAAATGTATATTTACCTTTACTGGCATGAAACATAAATACGTACTTAATACTTTCCGTGTCTTTTCAGATACTGCGACCGCAATTTGGATTTCTAGCGAGTAACAGTAATGAGGTACAGCACTTCTCCCCTTTCCCCAGTGCTGTATTTGATTGATTTCCACGAATTCCAAGGCACCCCAAATGAATTTTATTAATTTTATTTTGTTCTTCATTGATTTATATCACACCCATCACGCTTAAATGTAAACACTTGATTCTCCTTTGCCTTACGTTGACCTAAATTTGATGTTTTCCTCTCCTTTGTCCCCCAGATTGTCCGACTCAATGGTCTGACGGTCTCGGGCATCGGCTTTGGTCAAGCACAGGCGCGTCACCATCTGAATCTCCTAGATTGACTATAGAGAAGAAATGATGAACGTATGTATCAGGGAAGCTCTGCTTATTCCTCCTTTCCTGCTTTCTCTCCTCGCAGACGACACCGTTCCTGCCCTCCTTTGGACTCCAACCGGCTGACCTGGGCTTCCCCCCCCAGCTGGTGCCCTTAAACCCTCAGTTGGCAGGACCCTTCATGCCACAGGCCCCTCCGGTGCTGCTTCCTGCTCAGACTAACCAAGTGCCCCCAGGATTCCTGCCCCCCCCCCAACAGGAGCAGCCCGGCCTTCCACTCGACGCCACGGTCGCCCAGCAACCACAGCAAGGCTTTAACCAGGTGCGCTGAGGCTGACTCTGTAACCCTAAATACATCCCACTTTGTCTGCTTTTTGTCTCCTCTCTAACTTCCTCCGTCTCCTCCAGATGATCCCGCAGTATTACCCTTCCTTTCCGTATCCTCAACGGCCTGGAGGACAGGTACTGCCGGTCACATGACTAACCACAACACAAATTAGCGATTATCCCAGGGAGACTCATTATTTGCTGAGGAAATTATCTTAGGTATCTGCTGACCAAGGACATATGTTTCAACATTGGTATGGACAAAATTAGCCTCTGAACCCTCTCCTTCACTAAGCACACACCGTACTCCCACAATATCGGTAGGGACATCTTCCTACCATCCATACCAAAATCTAGGGCTGACAAGAGCCTTGAGACCCGAGTATCAATTTTTGACATCATATATTTAGTTTTTGCCAGGAAACATGGAGGTGCAGCATTTACCATGGCATGTTTATTGAATACAAACCTCCACGATTAATCCCTTCTCCAGGGCTTCCCCTACTATTTCTCATTTGGATACCCACAGTGGAATCCTTCATTTGCCCAGCTACAACCATCCCAGCCCAACGGCAGGCAGAACCTGGAGCAGACGACTCCAATACCAAACCTCCTGCAGGTACGTGCTCACCACGTGGGTCGCTTCTGTTCCCAGTCATGCCGTTCGGCTTTCAGGCTGCCCCTAGCTAATTTTAAACTGGCATTATTAACCTATAGATTCTAAATATAAAGTGTAAAGGTGTTTCACTTCAACATTTCATAACGAGATGCACAAACAGATCACATCTTTTTCTTTTCTTTGTGATTTTATATGATCAGCACAGATTGACATCAGTGAAATGTCATTAGCAGTTTATTTTTTTTATAATAACAGCTTCAGTAATGGTTGATGTTCCCTCTGTAGGGAAATACTAACAGAGATTTTGGAACGGGGTCAGACATTACTCCTAGCAGACGTGGAGATTCTGTAGGCACAGAGGTAAGGTACCTAAGCGATGTCACCCTGACATATAACGTTATCATGATACTCTAGGGACCCGTTTATCTATCTATGCAGGATATTACTCAAGATAATGTTCCCAGTTTTTCCCGTTTTCCTCATTCATGTGCCTTTTTTCTTGATGTCCATCTATACTCAGGTTCCAAACCCCTCCTTTGTGTTTGAACCATAGGATGAAATAATGACAGGAACTCTTGGGAGGTGAATGTTTCTTAAATTATGGACCAACGTCCTTTCATTTTCTGTTTCATGTAGCACTTGTTTGTCGTGACAGTTTTAAACTACTTCTCACACAACGTGATGGTATTTACAAATGAGACATCATTATACATCCTGTGCATGCCTTTGTAACTATTTCATATGATCTTTTCCAGAAAGATGTTCCCACCATAACCTGACAACCTTGGTCTGTCTTACTTTAAACTTTACATTGATCTGATTTTGTGTTTTTCACTACCGATTGTTATAATAGTAACTTATAATACCAGAACAAGAAAGCATTTACCTGTAAAGAAAATTCTGGGTTTGGATAATTTCTTACATTTCTATGGCAATTTATCAAAATAGCAGTATCTTAAAGAATCCCAGATCTCATTTAATGTTGTTCTTTCCTCAATAAAGTCTGTTTTTTGTTAAAAACATGCTGTCATCACCTTTGTCCCACAATGTTCACACACTAAAAAAACAAGACAGTCAGACACTATTATGTGCTTTGCAGAAAGTTTTAATGCCTACAATTAAATGAGCTTTTGAGATACACATGCGATAAACAGGACTAGCTATTATTCTACCACACCAAACTCACTCAATCCCAGCCAACACTATTAGCGTATATTTGACTATACATATCTGACTACTCAAGCCATTAAACATTTCGAATTAGGTATTCCTTTCATTCAGTTTTTTTTTGGTCAGCTTTTCCTCAGGCAATGACTCTGTACAAGGGAACAAACAGAAGAACAAACAAGCATTTAAAAACAATGAACGACCCTTGAAGTTAGCTTTATAAGGTTTGAGAGTCTGGCATTTGGTATGCGGCTGGTGATTGGTCAAACAGGATTTGAGCGTGACATTCATTTAAAAAAAACGACTCTGTTAGTTCTTGGGTGGCTTTTAATGAGCTTTTTACCCATTGGACAAATTTCAATATCAAATATCAAATGAGCCTGAGAAGTGTGTGGTGATTATCAGTAATAAGTGACGCCTTACCTGTCTTTCCAACATCTTAGAAGTCATAGTCCGGCTCGGCCTAAAACATCGGTAGTGTGCTTGAGTTTTGAGAGACAAATAAAGTCACAGTCCAACATTTTCATCATCGCCTGGACTGGTTATTAACTTACCTTTAGGAATGCTGGGATCTTTACGGAAAGACAAAGGAGAGCATGATTAGAGGACTACTACTAGTTCATCTTAGGTTGAACAGTACCTGGTTACCACGCCAAAAGTAATCTAAAATTCTATTCCTGATTCTAAAGTCCGATGAGTTCAGGTTTACTAAACAGGGCAGGTACTGAAGAAGCATCAAATGATTAGCAGAGTTTGATATTTGCACTTGGGGGCCAAAAAGTCCCATGAATTTGATACATTAACGCATGTATCTGATACACACATAAATTATTTTGTCTACCTATAGGGTATCAACAAACCGCTTATGCTAAGGTGCTAAGTGCCGGTGCAGAACATGTGCAATGCTGGTCTGGCTAATTAATTGCAATTAATTGTGCATCCTGGTAGAAACAGTGCACTCTCATTTCTTGTGTATTTTCTATATGTATAATTTACCAAAATTTGGAAACAAGGGCTGCTTTACTCACAGGGCTCAGAATCCCATATTCGTACGAAACTGTTTGCTGAAACAAACAAACAAACAAACAAATATGAGGGGTGAATATGCTTACATGCGGAGGCTGCTAATATTGACACCAAGTCACTAAAGCATCTGTCTCAAAAATGTATAATGCTTTCATGGGATAAGACCGAGAGACTTACTTTGTTTAAATGTTATGATACTGCAAAAGGTACCAGAACAGATACTGCAACTAAAATTAATGGTGTATAACTTAAAAAAAAGTTTTAAAAATCACATCAAATTACCGGAGATGAGGAGCTAAAGTAAACCTTCAGGTATGGCTGAAAGTAAAGAGATGAAACACAGAATTAGAGGCTGCGTTTCTCTGTTTGTTGTCATGCACATTTGAATGGCTGCTTCATAATGCAGCACAATAAATGCAGAGATGTTGTTTGAGAGTGGGTAACCTACCTGAAGTCCGTATAATCCATATCCATACTGAAAAAGAGGATGGGACACTTAAAAATATATCAACTGATTTTTAATCAAAACATAATTTATGTATTGTTTAGACCAAAGAATAAAAGATTATCCATACCCCCATCTCCTGTGGTGCATTTGCCCCTCCCTGGAAACAACCAGAGGTTAATTCTCTCCCATTATGTTTTAATACAATACTGGGCATTGACTTATTCATCAACTCAATGACTTAGTCCACCATCAAGATGTTTTTTATGTTGTCATAGAGACAGAAGCCAATGAGAGTCACATGACTAATACATTAATTTGTCAGGGAATGAAGCAGGAGGGGATACCTTTGGTTGAGGAACTCCTGCTTGAATCTGGGAATTAAAGAATATGCACATATTTAGTGTGCAGAAATGAAACAGCAGATAATCAATCAAGAAGTACATGTCGAGTGATTATTCCAGAAAGACCATCGTTCTCTACCTTGGGCAGGAGAAACATGTTTTCACCCTGTGACAGTGAAACAGCATGCAATCAACAACAAATATTAGAGAAGAAAAACAGAACAATAACATAACTGTTTTGCAAATTAAATTATAAAAATGTAATTCCCATATTTTGATAATCATACAACATTCTGTATTAAAGGATCCAATATGCTGATACATTACAAGCTAAATGTTAGCTGTAATCATTCAAATAAAAACAAAATCAGAATAAAGTAACTTTACCTCTTTGAAATGGTACAGGCTGGCATTCTGCACATGGGAAGCAGTTGGATATGCATTAAACAGCATTGAATAACATAAGGACAATTGCATTTCTCATAATTAAATAGTGTTCTGAGCTTTTTACCTGGAGGGTTACGTTATTTGCCTGCAAACACAAACAAACAAACATATATAATGTGAATACGCTCAGATGCAGTGTCCATTTGAAAGGTGAGCAAATGTAACTGTACCGTTACCTGGATGATGGGGAAGAATTTCTGACCATCCTAGAACACAATAATGATAACAGCTTTTTAAATACATTATATGTTTGGCAGTTCGTCTGACAGGGTGGTATTCATGAATGAATATCAGCACCAGTGGATAATCCAATGTACAATGAATGAATTATGAACGACTCTTTGGCTAATGTCCTAAAATCGGGTCCCATCCCCTCTGATTATTGGACCTCTGATGTGGAACTTCAGTGATGAAGCCTTCTACTTACAGTGGAGCTGGGATTCCTCATATCTGGATGACCTGGCATAGGGCCCCCTGGCCTGAGACCTTCGTGGGCCCCTGGTGGCTTGTTTGGGGGCCCCCTTTGTGCAGAAGCCTGCATGTTGTTAACTGGAACCCAGTTGGTTGGTTGCCTGCTGTTCCTACCCTACAGTGGTGAAGAGCACAGAGGATTAAGGCTACAGGGAAATTCCATTCTGAGCTATTCATCTGCTTATTCCTACACGTGCCGTTCAATCATACACAGGAGGGTTAGGGATTTCAAGATCACCTGCATGGGATGTCTCCAGTATTCCTGAGGATCTGCTCCCTCCCCGCCCATGTTTTCGCCCCAAGGCCCCAGTCTGAGGTATTCCTGAGACCTGGGTGGCCTTTGCTCTTTCTGAACATCAGAAGAAATGACGTTCAATTGTATTATTTCAATGAGCTAATAGCTGACATAAAGTAATCAACATTATACATTAAAACCTTACCCCCGGCAGATGGGGTTTCCTTTCCCCTGTCCCCACTGGTCTAGCTGGATTGCTTAGTTCTCCCATTGGTCTGTCTGTACCCATTGATTCTTCCATTGGTCTACCTGGATTCACTGATCCTCCCATTGGTCTGTCTGAATCCATTGATCCTCCCATTGGTCTGCCTGAATCCATTGATCCTCCCATTGGTCTGCCTGAATCCATCGATCCTCCCATTGGTCTGTCTGAATTCATTGATCCTCCCATTGGTCTGCCTGAATTCATTGATCCTCCCATTGGTCTACCTGTGTCCATTGATCCTCCCATTGGTCTACCTGTGTCCATTGATCCTCCCATTTGCTGACCACCAAATGGGGGCCCACCTGGCTGCCCCTTTCTTGGAGGAAAAGGCTGAGAACAGAAGATTTGACTGTCATTAAATTATTATCTTACCTTACGTTCACAATGCCTGAGAGCTGAGCATTTTTACTGGAGTAATTCAGATCTACGGTCAAAAAACTTCTCCGAAGACCATCCAAGTAGCTACCAATAAGGTCATAAGATGTGGCCCTTTGCCTGCAGGACAGTTGTCTATTCAAGGTCAAGTTTGAAGGCTGAAGATCTATATGGACCAGAATTTCTCAGTCTTCATCAAAGTCACTTCTTCTGGTTCATTTCAATAAGATTATCCATCTGAGCACCTGCTTAACAGATAGTGCTCGATGACATGCAATAGAAAGCATGAAAATACCCAGATACTCACCCCGGCAGCAACAGCTGTGAAAAACAAAGCCAACAGCAGCAAGAGGTTCATGATGGTGTATCTCTCTGCAAGAAAAGAAAAAAGTGAGGGTCTGAGGGCCTCTATGGAGGACCGGCCAGACAGATGCACAAAGTCACAATAACCATGCAGAAGCCACATGTTCATAAGTTGACATCTACCTACATAATGTCCCAATGGCAAAAATAAGGCGCCCGCCGTAAAGTTTACAGACAAATATCCCACAGACTGCTAACTAGCTATGCTAAAATGCTGCTAGCATGCCGATAAGCGGCCGGGAGATGCACACCTGCGGCCGGGACCCTTACCTGGTGTGTCCTGCCCAGGGCTATGCAGCCTTCTGAGCTGCGGCTCTCTTTAAAAAAGGCCGGAGGTGTTGAGTAACACCCGTGCAGTTTCGTCAGGCGCCAATTATCAGCTGGGCGTGAGCCGTGCGACTGCCCTGCATGGCCGCATGAGCGATTAGCCAGCCTGTGAGGGCAGGGAGCCGAGGGTCGAGTGGATTTCAAATAGGTGGGATTCTGGCGTTTTTTTGGGAAACCATAATAAATCCACCTGTCTTGCATAACTGCTTATTCGGCGTGGGGGCAAGGTGACGGAGAGCCGGGAGGCCGTCCCAGAGAGCAGGGGGTACTAAGGAGGGGGTGCCAGACCATTGGTGAGAACCCACAAGCACCTAATGCCACAGCGAAGGATTATATTTATTTACAAAATGCCTTTATCCAAAAGTGACATAAATTTATAATGCAGGATCAGTCAGTCCCTGGGGCAAATGGGGGGGGGGTTTGCTCAGGGGCCCAATGGTGACATCTCTCTCCTGGCCATGAAATCTGAGCCCGTGACCTTCTAACTCTCAGAGCAATGTTAAGTGAAATTAAGGAAAATTAACTAAAACATAAAAATAAATTTCATTGGCATTCAACACAAAATTATTATTGTTTGAGCTATAAAATTTTACGTAAATATGATTTTTTTTGTACCCTCCACTGATTTTCATTTGTAAATTCTCAGCCGACTAAATACATTCATAAGAACATAAGAAATTTACAAACGAGAGGAGGCCATTCGGCCCATCAAGCTCGTTTGGGGAGAACTTTACTAATAGCTCAGAGTTGTTAAAATCTTATCTAGCTCTGATTTAAAGGAACCCAGGGTTTTAGCTTGTGCTACACTAACGGGAAGACTATTCCATACTCTAACTACACGCTGTGTAAAGAAGAATTTTCTCAAATTCAACTCATTTGGTATAAATGTATTAAATAGTAATAATCTTAATACTTTGCTATAGTACGTAATTAAAAATATAAAATTGAAAGTCAGAATGCTAAAGAAGTTTGAAATACTTATGTCAAAACATTTACCTTTACGTTAATTCAGGTGGAATATCTGGGTGTGAGGATTCGTCTGTTCTCACAGGGACTGTTAAGTCACTCGGTTATTCAACTGTCAGTCATGTAATCTCCTCTGCAATACCATGCCTTAAGTGATTAAAGACTGACGATAAAAACATCAAGAGGAGCAGTCAAGATCTCACTTGGGAAAGAATTGTAATGCGCAACAAACGCCGTGCATGATCTGAATAAACAAACGGCGTATTTCACAGGCTGCTGGGATCATACAGTAGTTAGGCAAGAGTGTGCTCCATAGATACTCACTTCTCTTTCAGGGATTTCATGGAGGATTCACATGCAATGATACAAATCCTCAATGTCATATTGATGCCTATTAAAATACATGCATATCACAGCCGCGGTTTGATCTGTGAGGTTCTCTTGCATGAGTGATAAGGGAATAAGCACATGGTGATCGGTAATGATCAATTTTAGGAAATATTACAGATTTCCTCAAAATTGACTGAGATAAGGAAGGAAGGTTGGTTATTAATCCTCCCAAATTATCCCTTAGCCTCTCCCACACACTGCAATTCAACATTTCACAATATTAAATATTTGTAAGAGGGATTAAGCATAACGCAATTAATAAGTGTCACCATTGTGACATCATAATCAGCTTTTTCTCTAGTGTCTATATAAAGAGGACTGACGCTTGCGTATCTTCAGAGCGACATTAATCAAGCTTCGTTTGATATCGTCCTGAACAGAGGTAATAGCCGAACAGCTAACATTTGCATAGATGAATGTATGCAGTGTATGCAGCCTATAATAACTGATGCAGTACTGATGTCGTTTTTATATTTGGATGCTTTCTCTAGCAAACAGGTGAATCATGAAGAGTCTCGCTTTTTTGGTGCTCCTCATTGGAGTCTCCACTGCTTTTCCTGTAAGTATCTTGGCAAAGGACCGTGGAACATGCGCCTCATTTAGTAGTTGGGTTGCTAAGGATTACTGGTTGACATGTGAGATTGACGTGCGTGATTGACGTGTGATGTGTGCGCCCACTCAGGCTGTAAATCGGCATCACTCTTCAAGGCACAGCTCTGGCTCCGATTCTGACGAGGTGGGTGCATCGTTTCGGGAGAAGCTTTGCTGGTTCTTTCCAGATTTACACACATATCCAAGCTTTCCAGTGACAGCTTCAGAAATATCTCATGATCGAGATTCCTGAAGATAGAGGTTGAAAATTCAAGTCCAGAAAGTGAAAATTGAGACCAAGATTTTGTTCCAGCCAACCGGTTGAGTACTCTGTGACTCTTTAGATTCAAGTCTTGGTCTGGATTTTAACTCTCTGGACCTGAACTTTCCACCTCTGTCTGAAGATGACCAAACACACATTTCATTTAGGTCATGTTCTTGCCTGTAGTAACACAAAATGGCTACTGTGATCTTCTGACCTTCTTAGAGAATCATCCCCTTTTATGTTGCCACTTCTATGAAACCCTTTCTATCTCCTCTTCAGATGCCCGGAAGGTTCCCTTTTCCTCCAAGAAGGGGCCCCTTTTCCAACCTGACACCAGACCAGCTCCTCAAGCTCTTTCTGGCTGCCATCTTTCCTCCGCCAGCCACTACACATGCCCCACCATCTACCACAACATCTACCACTACACCCTCAACTACCCCAACCACTACACCCTCAACTACCCCAACCACTACACCCTCAACTACCCCAACCACTACACCCTCAACTACCCCAACCACTACACCCTCAACTACCCTAACCACTACACCATCAACAACCCCAACCACCCCAACTACAACCAGAAAGACTACCTAGTCATTTATTCACAGTCATTGAAAATAAAGAGAAGAGCCTGGGAAGAAGAGTGAGATATTTCTGACGAAATTTGTCTCCTGACTCAGCGGACCTGCATCGTCTGCGCTCGATGTCTCCACCTCCTAGGACGGTGTTTCTATGATATTCTGGGATATCCTCAGTCTGCTCTCTTCTCACGAATGTTTGTCATGCAGCCGGAAAAATAAACAGTTCATGTTGAAATGTGTTGTCTTGCCTTTTAATATAAATGTGCACATGGAGAACTTTGCTAAGCGGTACGCATGGGCACTCGTGTGTGTGGCATCCACATGCGTCTGAAGACAGTGAAAAGGATTTCTCCAAAAAAAAAAATAATAATAATAATAATAACAAAAATAAAATAATAAAATGATAAGGAGAATAACAGGAACAACAACAATAATAATAATAATAATATGAATATGAATATCCTGGTGGACTGGCAGAGGGCCTGGAGCCTCATCCAGGTGGCTGAGGGTGCAACACCAGGGATACCCTCAAAGGTGACACCTTCAGCAGGCACAGGACAGACAAACACTGTGGGCAATTTAAATAGCAACGTCACCACAGTACTGTGCTTCATGATGAAGGAGTTCTTCCCGAAAGAGCCCTGTCCCATTTATCAAAAAGGCATCCACATGATTAGAATCCGCCCATCACTCAACATAGAAGTTACATTGTTGTGATGCTCTTACCTTGGCAGGTGACCTGTATGGTACTACTGATGATTATTACTATTGTTAATCATGCTAATGCATTTGACAGTGTATTGCTGAATTTGAAGAACAATGAAATAACTGTTGGGGGGGGGCTGACGAAGATTCATCCTTCCCCACTCCATTGAACTCTCCAATTTTTGGACATTCATCCATTCTGTTCCATAACTATTTATCTGGCATTTTGATGAGCCTCGAGGCAGTCTTAGGAAATACATGACAGAAGTGAGGGCACACCCTGGGCACCAGGCCATGCCCAGGACACCAGGCCACTGCAGGGCACCAGGCCACGCCCAGGACACCAGACCACTGCAGGACACCAGACCACTGCAAGACACCAGACCATGCCCAGAACACCAGGTCACTGCAGGGCACCAGGCCACTGCAGGACACCAGGCCACGCCCCAGGGAACCAGGCCACACCCAGGACACCAGGCCACTGCAGGGCACACACACAGAACACATAGACACCAATTTACAGAGCTGCTTAGGAGTGGCCAGTCATCTCACTCTCTCTCTTACTTCTCCACTCCTTTGCAGTATTAATAACGTTTGGATCATGTTTACTCTACTGTGTACTTGCATTTACTGTCATTTTGCAGCACCTTCATTTTTTGCGTTTGATTTGTGTTTACCAACTAACCAGAAGGGAAGTGTGACTGTGCATATGACAAATTCATGGTGTCACACCTGGGTAAGGAAGGAGGCAAGGACGAGCGTAGCGGGAATGAAAAGGGCTTCATTGGGGAAAGGTAAGCAGAAGCAGGACAAACTCAAAGGACCACGAGGGGACAAAAGAGGAAGATGTGGACTGGGCTGGGCTGAAGCACAAGGCAAACTCTGGGGGCACACAGGGGGCGACATCAATGACTGGCCTGGGGAGCACATGACTGGGAGAGGCAGCTGGAGTGATAGACACGAGGGCTGAAACGAGAGGTAGGACGAAGCAAGCAACAGGTGTGACTCGTTAGTGGCTCGTTAGACCCACACTAGGGCGAGAACATGAGGGCCAGGCAGGCAGAGCATGACACTTTGATCCTGATTGCTGAGAAATCTCACTTATAGGGCTGCTAAATCATGAATGCTTCCCATTAAAAACACATCTGCACTGTTTAATGCTGCTGAAAGAACATGATTGAACTACTGTACTTTGATTCACCATTCAGCTTGATACTGTCTATATTGTATATAATATTTTCTGTTTGATTTTCATATTTATTTTTATTTTGTTTGATTTATCTTTTATACCTTTGGTGGGACGCAGACAGAGTATAGTTGTAGTATACAGTTCATTGAGAAGAAAGATATTCTATTCTATTCTATTCTATTCTATTCTATTCTATTCTATTATGTTCTGTTCTGTTCTGTTCCATGATGGATTTGGGGGTGACATTAGCCAGCTTCTCTTCACATTACCTGTACACTTCTCTCACGCCCGAGTGTTACAGTTCCATGTTGCAAATGGGTTTTGAAATTCCTGCTGCCAGTTGCACCACTGCCCCTGGAAGCCTGCCATCTTGCTCAATAGCATGTTTTGTTTATCTGCACAGTTAAATAACAAACAACGAAAAACAGCATCATAATCGAACCAAACAAACACCCACATTGTGGTGAAATTTTGTGACTGGCAATAACCACGTGGTTGCTGATTGGCTATTAAAGGCCCAATCGCACCTTTATAAATACCCGTTCTATACCAGCATCAGCCATCAAACTGCTTCGGCATCATCAGTGGTACCTTACAAGTCACCTGCCAAGGTAAGAGCATCACAACAATGTAACTTCTGTGTTGAGTTATGGGCGGATTATAATCATGTGGATGCTTTTACTGATAAATGTGACAGGGCTGTTTCGGGAAGAACTCCTTCATCATGAAGTACGTTCTTGTTGTGATGTTGCTGATTGGCCTCGGCCTGGCAGTTCCCGTGAGTATCAGAGTCTGTGTTCCTCCTAATCATTTATCACGATGCCAGCGACTTTAGGAAGTACTTCTGAGGTCATACAACAATGCTACTGAATGAAAGAAAGACATTTTGCTACATGATCTGAAATCCAGCCTAGTGGTAAAATCCACCATGGCCTCCGGATGTAACAAGCACGACTTGTTTCTTCAGCAGGTTCCTGAGGAGGAGCATATGGGGAGTGAGCGTTTTTCTGGTTGGGAGGTCAGTCCCCCGTCAATCTTCCTCTCAGTTCTTCCAGCACGAGTGACCAGATCTTTGGCTTCACCGCTAACGCCGTACAGGAGAAGCTAACATGAGGTTCAGTGTTATGGTTAGAAGTGGCGAAGGGTGGCACTTAGTTTAAGAGATTGATGGTACAACTGAAACTGAAATTCTGAGACAGCAGTTATTCTGCAGTATCCTGAAGATTATGCTTATTCTGAATTATTCTGAAACTACTCATTTGTTTAAAAGGCTTTAAAGACTCATGTTTAGACTTTTTGTACAGATGCATTTGTAAATGACTCTGTGAAGGACTTTGTTTGAAGATCGTGCCTAACTGCACTGTCTAAGGCACATGTGTCAAACTCAAGGCCCGCGGGCCAAATCTGGCCCAGCGTACAATTATACCTGGCCCACAAGATCATTTTATATATCTCATTTTTAATGGCCCGGCAATATAAAGCGCAGATAACACTCAAACTACAAATCCCATAATGCAGCGCAACAGCTTCCTTACTGAATGATAGGCTACCTGTGATCATTCCCGCGTCAATTATGTCAGATCAATCAAGAGTCTGTTGATGTATACAACCCAAATTTCAAGTCAAAGCTAGCCCCTAACAATGGGCAAGAGAAAGGTTGATTCTGAAAACAGGGCCTTTCAAAACCGGTGGGAGACTGAGTATATGTTTACTGACATTGCTGGTAGCCCTGTGTGTCTTATTTGTGGAGTTAATGTGGCTGAGAGAGAATCTCCACAACACAGAACCTTATACCCCAAACATAAACGAACTTGTTGCCAAGAAAAGATGCCAAGCATCTTGCTCTGACAGAATGGCATAAGAGCAAAGAAAATGGAATGTTTTGATTTGTTATTTCAACTTTAACTTAAAAGCACAATTTTTATTTATATTTTTAGGTTTTTTGCAGCATATTCATATTTTGAATTTGTATAATTTTGACAGGAGATATTTTTATGGCGAGTAAAATATTTTAATTTTCCGTTTATATATTTTGAAATCATATTCTATCCTGTCTGTTTCAATTCATATTTATATTCAAAAAACATAGTTTAAGTCTGTTCAATAAATGTTCGGCCCGTGATCTAAAGTGTGCTTTGAGCTTTGGCCCCTTTTGCGATTGAGTTTGACACCCCTGGTCTAAGGTGTAAAGGGAGGCCGCTTGCGATCCTGTAAGTATCACAGTCTGTTACTCTTAACCATTTAGCACGATGCCAGCGACCTTGGGAAGTGCTTCTGAGGTCATTCAACAATGCTACTGAATAGAACAAAGACATTTTGCTACATGTTCTGAAATCCAGCCTAGTGTTAAAATGCACCATGGCCTCCGGAAGTAACGAGCATGACTTGTTTCTTCGGCAGTTTCCTGAGGAGGAGCACAGAAGGAGCGAGCGTTTCTCCAGTTGGAAGGTCAGTCCCCCATCAGTCTTCCTCTCAAATCTTCCGGCATGGCTCTCTGGCTTCGCCGGTAATGCCCTACAGCAGGGCTATTCAAACCACGGTCCTCAAGGGCCGAGCACTGCTGTTTTTCCAGCCTTCCTTTACCTGAGAGCCAGTTGTGAAGCCTCTGGCCAATTAGAGCCAGACATTATTAAGCTAACTACCTGGGAGACTTGAAAACAAGGCCTGGATTTGGAATCGAGGGCCAGATTTCAATAAGGGGGGCCCACAGGAGAAGCTAACATGAGCTTCAGCATGGTGATTAGAAGTGGTGGAGGGTAGCACTTAGTTTAACCACAGCAGGTTCAGAATCCTGAAGATTATGCTTATTCTGAAACTACCCGTAAGTATCAGAGTCTGTGTTCCTCCTAACCACTTAGCACGATGCCAGCGTCTTTAGGAAGTGCTTCTGAGATCATACAACTAGGGCTGCAACAACTAATCGATTAAAATCGACTTTTAAAATAGTTGGCAACTAATTTAATAATCGATTAGTTGGGTCTACATTATTATACACATAAGTACAGTGGCTACCCCCTAATTTGGGAGCAGTAAGCTAACCAAAGCCGCGGTGGCAGTAAAGCACCATTAAGCTGGATGCCGACCGCCATAAAAGAAAAAGGTGACGAGAACCAATGCCGTGCCTTGAGTAGCTTACGTGATGAATTCTGGGAGAACTGAAAAAAACGTTTGAAAAATGGCGGAGGCGGACACAGCAGAGTCTTGTTTTAATTCTGCCAGAAACGGTAGTATTTCACGATAATTAGCTGAAATTAGGTCGGAGAGACACTGATTATCTGAGGTGGAGTTTTTGGATTATTTTATGCAATTATTCAGATTAATTAACGCAAATCCTTCATTCAGTGGTGTAGTGGAGGGTAACCTTTTAAATTTACAAAACAGCGTTTGCTCACCTTTTTTGAGATTACTAATGTTAAGGATATGAATAGTTACCCACCGTTTTTACTGCTGTGCATATAGTTATACCCACCTTTAATTTCGTGTTACCATGCATCTCCTCACGAGAGCGCAAGCCGGCACATGTTTAGCGTAAAATGCGGAAAAAGCTTTTTCTCCGCAAGAAATGTTTACTTTGTTTGTCCGTAATAAATGCAGACACAATCGCTCGCGTGCTCTCTCCCCCTGTCACATATGTGTATCAACATTAAATAACATTAGAGAATTATTTAATAATATTCTTAGTAGTAGCAGCGGTAGTCTGTGCTGAATACATTATCTAATACATTATCTAAAGCACCATACTGGTTGCACTTTATAAAAAAAGATTTTGTGTTTTTCATTACATTAATTCAGCTGCTACAATTTAATTTTTTTTTTGTACTCTTAAAGTAGCATACATTTTTTTTTGTGAGTTGCTGGAAACAACCTTTGTACAAAGACAGTCTGGGTTATTAAAAAATGCTGGAAATCGAATTGGTTTTTGTTTTCCTTCCTTCCCTCCGATTAATAATCGATCAATTGAAAAAACAATCGACAGAGTAATCGATTATCAAAATAATCATTAGTTTTAGCCCTACATACAACAATGCTACTGAATAGAACAAAGACATTTTGCTACATGTTCTGAAATCCAGCCTAGTGTTAAAATCCACCATGGCCTCTGGAAGTAACGAGCACGACTTGTTTCTTGGGCAGGTTCCACAGGAGGAGCACAGGAGGAGTGAACGTTCCTCCAGTCGGGAGGTCAGTCCCCCGTCAATCTTCCTCGCANGATTATGCTTATTCTGAATTATTCTGAAACTACTCATTTGTTTAAAAGACTCATGTTTAGACTTTTTGTACAGATGCATCTGTAAATGACTCTGTGAAGGACTTTGTTTGAAGATCGTGCCTAACTGCACTGTCTAAGGCACATGTGTCAAACTCAAGGCCCGCGGGCCAAATCTGGCCCAGCGTACAAGTATACCCGGCCCACAAGATCATTTTATATATCTCATTTTTAATGGCCCGGCAATATAAAGCGCAGATAACACTCAAACTACAAATCACATAATGCAGCGCAACAGCTGCCTTACTGAACAATAGGCTACCTGTGATCATTCCCGCGTCAATTATGTCAGATCAATCAAGCGTCTGTTGATGTATATAACCCAAATTTCAAGTCAAAGCTAGCCCCTAACAATGGGCAAGAGAAAGGTTGATTCTGAAAACAGAGCCTTTCAAAACCGGTGGGAGACTGAGTATATGTTTACTGACATTGCTGGTAAACCCGTGTGTCTTATTTGTGGAGTTAATGTGGCTGAGAGAGAATCTCCACAACACAGAACCTTATACCCCAAACATAAACAAACTTGTTGCCAAGAAAAGATGCCAAGCATCTTGCTCTGACAGAATGGCATAAGAGCAAAGAAAATGGAATGTTTTGATTTGTTATTTCAACTTTCACTTAAAAGCACAATTTTTATTTATATTTTCAGGTTTTTTGCAGCATATTCATATTTTGAATTTGTATAATTTTGACAGGAGATATTTTTATGGCGAGTAAAATATTTTAATTTTCAGTTTATATATTTTGAAATAATATTCTATCCAGTCTGTTTCAATTCATATTTATATTCAAAAAACATAGTTTTAGTCTGTTCAATAAATGTTTATCCTGTTCGGCCCGTGACCTAAAGTGTGCTTTGAGCTTTGGCCCCTTTTGCGATTGAGTTTGACACCCCTGGTCTAAGGTGTAAAGGGAGGCCGCTTGCGATCCTGTAAGTATCACAGTCTGTTACTCTTAACCATTTAGCACGATGCCAGCGACCTTGGGAAGTGCTTCTGAGGTCATTCAACAATGCTACTGAATAGAACAAAGACATTTTGCTACATGTTCTGAAATCCAGCCTAGTGTTAAAATGCACCATGGCCTCCGGAAGTAACGAGCGTGACTTGTTTCTTCGGCAGTTTCCTGAGGAGGAGCACAGAAGGAGCGAGCGTTTCTCCAGTTGGAAGGTCAGTCCCCCATCAGTCTTCCTCTCAAATCTTCCGGCATGGCTCTCTGGCTTCGCCGGTAATGCCCTACAGCAGGGCTATTCAAACCACGGTCCTCAAGGGCCGAGCACTGCTGTTTTTCCAGCCTTCCTTTACCTGAGAGCCAGTTGTGAAGCCTCTGGCCAATTAGAGCCAGACATTATTAAGCTACCTACCTGGGAGACTTGAAAACAAGGCCTGGATTTGGAATCGAGGGCCAGATTTCAATAAGGGGGGCCCACAGGAGAAGCTAACATGAGCTTCAGCATGGTGATTAGAAGTGGTGGAGGGTAGCACTTAGTTTAACCACAGCAGGTTCAGAATCCTGAAGATTATGCTTATTCTGAAACTACCCGTAAGTATCAGAGTCTGTGTTCCTCCTAACCACTTAGCACGATGCCAGCGTCTTTAGGAAGTGCTTCTGAGATCATACAACTACGGCTGCAACAACTAATCGATTAAAATCGACTTATAATATAATATAATAACAAAATAGTTGGCAACTAATTTAATAATCGATTAGTTGGGTCTACGTTATTATACACATAAGTACATGTGGCTACCCCCTAATTTGGGAGCAGTAAGCTAACCAAAGCCGCGGTGGCAGTAAAGCACCATTAAGCTGGATGCCGACCGCCATAAAAGAAAAAGGAGACAAGAACCAATGTCGTGCCTTGAGTAACTTACATGATGAATTCTGGAAGAACTGAAAAAAAACGTTTGAAAAATGGCGGAGGCGGACACAGCAGAGTCTTGTTTTAATTCTGCCAGAAACGGTAGTATTTCACGATAATTAGCTGAAATTAGGTCGGAGAGACACTGATTATCTGAGGTGGAGTTTTTGGATTATTTTATGCAATTATTCAGATTAATTAACGCAAATCCTTCATTCAGTGGTGTAGTGGAGGGTAACCTTTTAAATTTACAAAACAGCGTTTGCTCACCTTTTTTGAGATTACTAATGTTAAGGATATGAATAGTTACCCACCGTTTTTACTGCTGTGCATATAGTTATACCCACCTTTAATTTCGTGTTACCATGCATCTCCTCACGAGAGCGCAAGCTGGCACATTTTTAGCGTAAAATGCGGAAAAAGCTTTTTCTCCGCAATAAATGTTTACTTTGTTTGTCCGTAATAAATGCAGACACAATCGCTTGCGTGCTCTCTTCCCCTGTCACATATGTGTATCAACATTAAATAACATTAGAGAATTATTTAATAATATTCTTAGTAGTAGCAGCGGTAGTCTGTGCTGAATACATTATCTAATACATTATCTAAAGCACCATACTGGTTGCACTTTATAAAAAAAGATTTTGTGTTTTTCATTACATTAATTCAGCTGCTACAATTTTTTTTTTTTTTGTAGTATACATTTTTTTTTGTGAGTTGCTGGAAACAACCTTTGTACAAAGACAGTTTGGGTTATTAAAAAATGCTGGAGATCGAATTGGTTTTTGTTTTCCTTCCTTCACTCCGATTAATAATCGATCAATTGAAAAAACAATTGACAGAGTAATCGATTATCAAAATAATCATTAGTTGTAGCCCTACATACAACAATGCTACTGAAGAGAACAAAGACATTTTACTACATGTTCTGAAATCCAGCCTAGTGTTAAAATGCACCATGGCCTCCGGAAGTAACGAGCACAACTTGTTTCTTCGGCAGGTTCCACAGGAGGAGCACAGGAGGAGTGAACGTTCCTCCAGTCGGGAGGTCAGTCCCCCGTCAATTTTCCTCGCAGATCTTCCAACACGG